ATGGCTCTAAGGTATGGACAATTATGAAGATTATGAGTATGAAGATTATTGGCAGTTGAAATGGATTATTTTAAACAGGTTCAAAATGGTTTGGACACCTATTGAGAATGCCTGACGAACGTTGGCCCCAAAAACTTCACAAATGGAAGTCCCCTGGAAGAAGAAAAATAGGTAGACCTCGGCGCTCATGAAATGAAGGAATTAGAAAAGCCATGGAATCGAGAGGTTTGAAGGAGAAGCATGCCTTGGACCACGATGATTGGCGGAGGAGAACGGAAATACGGCGATAGCCGGCTCCAAAATGTATTGTATTTACAAGTTGGATTAAGGTCCAAAATAATTAACTTATTTTAACCCTCAATTGTGGCTTATTCCCAATAAAATAGTAATTACTTTGAAATGTCACAAGGAAACAATCAGAATCAAAAGCTTCAGAACAATAGATAAGATCTAGATAATAGAATAGAGTGTTCCAAAAATGTCGTCATCCTCACAGTGGCCACCCACTTTCAGAGTACGGTACGTGCGACAGTCAACTAGACACAACTAAGAGAGGGTGGTTTCAGTTGGTAGGCAGGATAATAGATATCTGAATCTTTGGCACTGCTATCTTTAGTACTTTAAATTAAACTAAAACCCAAATTTTAGGGACAAAATGGAGATATAATAATAAATTTCAAAGCCCCCCCCCTCAGACAAATTCTGGGTGCGCCACTGATTCCATGAGAATGATATGATTAACTTTGTCGAAAGCTTTATCATAGTCTATAAATGCGAGAAAAAGATCTTTTTGTTGGTCTCGATATTTTTGAGCAAGAGTTGTAAAACTCAGAGCTTACCCAAATCCGCTTCACACTTTTTGAATGTTCTTGCATGTATAACCTTTTAAAATGTTTTAAATAGTTGTGGCAAGCTGATCAATCCATACCCTATATTCATTACAGTGTTTAGGATTCTTGGTTTTTGATAGAGGAAAAAAGATCGATAGTAGTCATTCTGTATATATCTCAGATTTTTATATGTTGTTAAAGAGGATAGTTATTGCACTTGTATAAAAACACCTATAAAGACTTATTATGACGTAAAAACTTCTTAAGTAAAATGGTAGAATATTTATTAAAAATTTTAAAAATTATCCAAAATGGATTTAAAATTTTCAGAACGTTTTCGATCAGATCATCATGAGTGAAAAACGTCTGTATAGTATTTGAAACTAGCCTCATAACGAGGTTAGATATTAATTAAGGTAATAAACATTTTAATTATTATGACAGTAGGTCCGTGATAAAGGATTATATTTTTAAGGGAACATACAAATACCCGGTAATAACTAACCACCATAGACGTATTTATTAACATAGACTGTTAATATATACGTCTATGCAAACAACTCTGTTGGTTGTTCTTTCAAAATGACGACAATTCAATTATTGTCTTTTAAATTTGTAAAAAAGTACAAGCTTTCCGAATATGAAAAAATAATTTTCCTGTAAGCAATGGTTAAAACGCTATTCTAATTGATTTTCACCAACATTCGACACGTTTTTGTAAAATGATTTTTTTTTAATTAATATTGTTATCCGTAGAATTATTACTTTATTATTATCTGACTTATATTGTTGAAAAAAAATAATAACTTGGGATAAACAAATAAAATATCTTTTATTTGACCGATCGCTTTGAAAAATTGATCATATTTTAAGCACTTAAGTCACAACATTCCATTTAATATGAAGGTTCTAAGTTCATTTTTAAAAAAGCTTTTAACATGTATAAAAAACCGAAATGTTCCGCGTGTGGGAGAAGTGACCATCCAATAGTAATACAACTGGATCAGCTTCACTTGGTTTAACGTGGCTTGAATTTGATTGGTTTAAATGTTGTAACCAATTGGTGAAAATGTGACTCTTAATCCAGCCAGACACATGGCGCAGCTATTGTCCCTGGTGGACCGCCGCGCCGTTGAGCAATTCTGTCTTAATATTTTTTCGGGGAAATATGACCATAGGGGACACAAAACCACCAGCCGCATTCATACAGGTAACCACAGTCACTAGTGATCCTTTTTCTGCAGAAGTAACGACCCCTACCTGCTTTTTACCTTTTAAGGTGATTATTTTGGTATGCTTTAATTGTACAAACGTTATACCTGTCTCATCTACATTACAGATTCGACAGGGATTAAATTTCATCTTCTCCATCGCAGGTTTCAAAATTTCAAAAAAATTATTTACGTTTTCTGCTGTGAATCCTTTTTTTGGTAGTTAATAAACCCTGTGGTATGCTAAACGTTAATACGGGATGTCTCTTTAAAAATGAACGCAACCATTTCTAATCTCCTTTTTTCTGATTAGTTGAAAACGGATGTTTTAAATTATTTCGAACAGCTAATTGAAAGGCTAATCTTCGAATATCAGAAGATTGCAGTTCGTAAAACCTTCTATCCATTTCTAGGCAATAATCGACCAAATCCGCTTCAATTTCTTTGGAAAACTCTGGTGGACATCCCATATTGGTTTAAATTTTCTTTCTTCTTTTAATGGTCATCTGAAGTTCTTCAGATGACTTTATTTTATTTTTTACGTAGTCTTCCAACGTGCTCTTGGGCACTTTAAAAGTTTTTGAAGCTCGCAAGTACCCCATTTCTTTGTTTTTAACTGCAGTAATAGCTGCATGCATGGATTTACTATTCCATTTCTTTTGTTTTTGTTTGGATTTCGATGACATTTTATTTCTAACAATGTAATTGTTAACACGATCTTAACTACGTAAATATGATAGTAGATATTCTATATAAAAACAATTAAGAAATATTTTGTCCTAATATCGGATATCTGATATTAAGACAGTGCGACCATCAGATCACAAACCACTAATAACTGAGGGAGGTAGGTGATCTGTGCATCAGATATTTGACAAAAAAAACCTGTTGTGAAGGTTATTTTTATGGATTAAAAAAACCTTAGTAATCCACTGTTCACGTTCACTTAATTAAAGTAGACATATTATAGACTAACTTAAAACTTAAACTACACAGTCAAATTTAAAAGCTTACCTGAATGTGTAAAAATTGCGTTTACGACTAGCACGTGTAAAAAATTGTAATGAAAAAATTCGGATAACTTACTCTAGTGCCCTCTATGTTGTACTACGGAGGCTAAAATATTATTTGGCGACCTGGGTTTAGCTCCGTGCTAAACTGGACATAGGTTTCTTGTTAATCAGATTACAGGTTTCTTTAAAATAGAACCATCCGATAATAGGCAACTATCCGATATTATGGCACTTTACTCTATCCAAACACACTGTGATATTATATAACCGCTAGCGCTCTCCTTCTCAATATAAAAAAAACTATCATTTTTACGACCACAACTGCTCACCGCCTAGCTAATTCGTTACAAAAAAGGAGTTTTTTGTCTATCTAGAACTGGGTCAACTATATTTATTTGTTTGTTATCGGAACTTGTAAAGGGGCCATAAATCTGTTAGTTTTATTGTTTTTGTGCAGTTTCTTCGTAACTTATAAAAAAGGTGGTTTGTAAGAACCCACCGTATGGGACATGTAAAGTTCGTTGAAAGATTGGCGGTTGTTTTTACCTATAAAAGTTTGAATCAAAGCCTTCGTGCTCGGCCCTAGTGCCAAATAGTTCACACTCAAGACTTCGTTCGCGGCCATCGTGCTGGTAGTTACTTCAAGACTCCTCTCTCAGACTTCGTACTCAATCCTCGAGTAGGATAGTTTTTACACGCGCTCTACGTAAACCTTACCTTCGTATACATATCAGAAAATAAATAGTTAGTGTAAGTTAAATGCTTTTGTAAACTACAATCGTTGTAAACTATAGTGCAACGTAAACTAAAGTGCCATTAAATACAACAGAGCATTATTACCAGTTCGACGAAATTGTTTTCGACGAAGGATTATTTAATCCAAGTCCACCTACTTAGCCAGTTCCAACGTTTGGCCCGCTTCTTGTGTTGTAGAAATGAGACGATTTACCACAATTTGAAAGCAATTTTTATTTATTTTTATATGAAACTTGAATTTTATGCAGTAAGCTTATGTACGTTTGTTGATTATAAAGTATTTGTAATGCACGCATCGAGTCTTTGATACCTATAATATCTTTGTCAGAAATACTACACAACTTTGGCCTAAAAGCTTAATTTCAAGATGTAGGAGCACGTTGTATTATTCAGTTCATGGGGTTCTTTCTTCTTTCTATGTCTAAACAGAACAATCTCAAAAAATGTTTAAAGCCTGCAAAAGTATATTAGATTTTGATACTTCATCTCAAAAATATGGCTTAGTCATATAATACGAAACAATCCTGAGACTAATCTAACAAATAATCGTAATGAAAAGTATCTCTCTAATGTGATCTGTGAGGTAATAACGATAACTAATCTCGTAAGTGAAAGCACAAATTATAAAAACAATATTTATTTAATATAATCCAGGACGCATTTCGACATCACTGTCATCATCAGCTTTATACAGAAACAGAGAAAATAAATGGATTGCCAACGCCATAGGAAACATCCCATACCAGACAATTGCTATTTAAAAGGAAAGGTTGGGACCAGAGCTAGTCTCTGTACTAGATATATGAGAGATATTAGGGATACAAGAGATCTGATGATGACAGTGATGTCGAAACGCGTCCTGGATTTTATTAAATAAATATTGTTTTTCCAATTTGTGCTTTCACTTAGAGATAAGTAGGTAATCGTTACTAACTTCCTAACAAATAATTGCTGGGGAACACATTTTATCAAACCGTAGTAAAAAGATTCACGAGTTTAGTTCAGAATGGGAAATGGCAATACTCTTTGGAACCGCAGTAGAAATTAATACATTCGCCTTTTTTAATTATTTTTCTTTTTAGTTATTAGATATTTACTTGTCAAATACGAAGTAAACTAATTAAAAAAACTGAAACTTCCCCTATATTCACTTTTAATATTAATATTTTAATTTTATTTTTTTGTTGCAGTATTCTTCGAACCGACAGATTCAGCTATAGCAGAGCTACCATTCAAGTCAACATATTCAAAGGCAATAAAATTCATAACACCAAATATAAACGAACTTTATGTAATAGCAAATTTGTTAAACATTCCTTATACGAAATCTTCTAGATTAGAAGATATAGCTAATTTAACAGAAAGAGTTGTGAATTATGTAGACAATGTCATTGTTACAATGGGTCATCAAGGAATACTTATTGGAAGAAAGGGTTTAGCAACTGATTCTTTCCAACAAAAGGTAACAAATGAAAAATTCGGAGCTAGACATTACCCTACAAAAGAAATCACCAATTTAGTAAACGTTAGTGGAGCTGGTGATTGCTTTGCAAGTGGTTTTATATGTGCATTAGTGTCTGATAAATCCGAAGAAATATGTATATCTGTAGGATTTGCAGCTGCTGAATTAGCGCTCTTTAGTGAATCCGCCGTTCCAAAATCGATGTTCGATCCTTCCCACGAGTCGTGGAGTGTCCCAACTAAATATACTACTATAATATAATTAATTTTCATTATATCCATAACATTTGAATAAAGGTTGTACTAAAATAAAATCGTAGTATTCAGTTTATTTTTTTAATTTTGTAAAAAGAAATGTATGATAGTTCTCTCAATTAAGAACAAGCTATTTTAAAACATTAAAATTATACCATTTTACATTTTTATAAGTTTTTACTTCATTGTAAGTTTCTTTTTTACCGACTGGAAGAACTTTAGTGACAGTTTATACTAAAGATGGTACGACCATGCATGCCAGAGAGCTCCTAGATAATAGGAGTCAGCATTCATTCATTTCTTGAAATTTGGTCGAGAGGTTAAATTTAAAAAATGATAAACTTAGAATTTTTTCCCTATAGTGTAAAGGATAAAAGTTTAAAAACTAATTTTGCTGTACTCGATGGTATAACCTAAAACCGGGCTTCCTCAAACTACCCTGGATAGAAGTAAAATAATTAATATTTCTTCTCTTTTTCGAACTCTTCTTATGTCATAGCTTCATATAATTGCTCTAATAAGGTCTTAAGGCCGTATGACACTATTCATTTTCTCGTATCATTTCTTATATCGTTTCTGATATAACAAAAACGTGGATAATGTCATACAAGCGTATAGTTCTTATATCAGAAACGATACAAGAATTTGTGTCCACTGCAGTTTCTTGTACAAGAAATGCGCCAATTTGTGCGCAAAAACGTAAAACTTCTGTCAAAATGGCAGCTGGAGGAGAACTTTGATATACAATTAGATCAAGCAGCCATCAGAGAAAAGTGCCCACCCACAATAACCAAGATTAGAACAGCAGTAGCCAAATTGAAAAACAATAAATCACAGGGATTGGATCAAATAGCATCGGAACTACTGAAAGTAGGAGGAGATATATTACTAAAAACAATACATAACCGCTCTAAAAATTCGTGATGAGTTTAAAGATTATTTCATATCTCTAAATAAGAGAGTAGAATTTCAAAAGCATGCCATTCAAACACATAATTTGTAAAATGTCCTGGCTGTCCTCCATTACAGCCTGTTGAATATCTTCAAAAATTGTGGTTTCCAATTTAGTTTTAATATTGGAACATTTTATTTCTTTCATTTTTGCACTACAGTATTTTAAAAAATAACCAGTAGCATCTGGCTTGGGGTCCTCAGGTACTGCAGTTCTATTTTTATAGGTGTTTAAATTTCGGCCAATCATATGTGCCAAATCACATACAATTTCCGGTAAAAGAACTTGCATATAGTGTTATACAGAACACAAATGTACCTACGTGCAAGAAACGATACAAGAAAACATAAATAACTTTATATATCAGAAACGATATAAGAAATGATACAAGAAAATGCATAGTGTCATATAGTGTCATACGGCCTTTAGGTTTATGCTGGAATTATTTTTTGACACTTTCTCAATCTCTCTTCCAGATTTCACCCTAAAGAACTCATACACCAAGAGAGAAAGAGAGAAGTACTGAAAATGATTTCCGAAATATTTGACCCTCAAGGCACAGAATAATAAACAATTGTGCTCAAGTTCTTATTTATTCAGTTACAGTTGTTGTCAGTAAGCTCATAATACAAAAAAATCTAGATTGGCAAAATCAGTTGAAACGATACCAGTATACCAATGGTACCATTGATAATTGATACTATAAATAAATAATACATGTGATGAGTGTCTTACCACCCGGCTTTTTAACGTAAGAGATAAAAAACACAGTTACCTTGTGAAATAAAAAGAGATGAAACTGGTAGAGGTGGGAAATAATCGATATAAACCTATAATTTACTGAACTGCTTTTATAAGTCTAATTTATTTAGTTTATTTCTCTTATTTTAATTCAGTAAAACATAATTGCTGTGGTGATGTCTTCCATTGCTCACCACAGCAATGGAAGACAAAAACATAAAAAACAAACGATCATTATGGGAGATTTTAACGCAAAAATCGGAAAGAAAATGGAAGAGTCAGAAACAAAATAGGAAACTATGGACTTGGAACAAGGGAATAGTAGGGGTGAGAACACGTACTAGAATACTTGAGGAACACCAAACCTTCATTCAATAAACACATACTTTAATAAGAAGCCAAACAGAAAATGGGACATGGGTCTCCCCAAATGGGGTGACAAAAAAAATGAAATAGATTGACTTCCTCTGCCAAAATACAAAAATCTTCGAAGACGTAACTGCACTTAATAAATTCTCAACTGGCAGCGACCACCGCATACTACGAGCCAAAATAGAAATAAACAAACTACAGATGCAAAAGCCGGAAGAAAACCAACGGCTATTGACCATAGCAGAATAAAACAAAACGCAGAAGAATATAGACAAGCTTTAAGGGAAAACTATAAACACCAATTAGGAAAGGAAGAGTCGGAAATTAATAAAATCAATAAAGAAATGAAAGAAAAACTCTTAGAAGCGGGAATGAAAACCGCCAAAAAACTAAGAACCAAAGAAAATAGATTAAGTAGCAGGACACTTCAATTAATGGAAAACAGACGAAAACTAATAAGCGAAAACAAAGAAACACAGTAGAATACGTAGAACTAAACAAACTAAATTAGGAGAAAAGCAAGAGAAGATCTGAGAACATACACTGAAAATGAAATTGAGAAAGTAATTGAGAGAAACAAGGGCCTAAAATGTTTACGACCAAATTTAGGGAAGCCTCTACTCATTTCAATAAAGGATGAAACAGGAAGGGAAGAAAGGAGAAAAGATAAGATATCGGAAAGAAGTAGAAAGATTTATAAAGAGCTATACACCTCAAAGAAAGACGCAAACGTAAACACACAAGAATATATTAAAAAAAACAATCACTAATGTAAACTCAGAAACACTGCCAAAAATAGAAAATTATGAAATAGAGGTAGCATTATTACAATTAAAGAACAATAAAGCACCGGGACCGGATGGAATCCTTGCTGAAATGCTGAAAGAAGGGAAAGAAGAAATCTTGCAAACACTGCGAAATCTATTTAACCAGTGTCTACATAGAGGAGAAATACCCGACGAATGGAACGAAAGTCTTACAATCCTGCTATTTAAAAAAGGAGACAAAAAGGACATAAAAAATTACAGACCCATCTCACTGCTGTCGCAAACGTACAAATTATTCATGAGGATTATCAACAACAGGCTAGCACACAAACTTGACTCATATCAACCAGTAGAGCAGGCAGATTCAGAAAAGGATATAGCACCACTGACCATCTTTTAACAATTAGGACACTGATAGAGAAAGCTAACGAATATCATTTAGATCTGCATTTAGCATTCGTTGACTATGAGAAAGCTTTTGATAGTGTGGAAATGTGGGCAATAGAAAGAGCTATAAACAACTGTAGAATAGATTCCAGATACAGAATGCTAATACACAATATATATAAGAAAGCAACAATGACAGTACAATTGGAAGAAAACACAAAACCTATACCAATTAACAGAGGAGTGCGACAGGGCGATGTTATTTCTCCTAAATTATTTACATTAGCACTGGAAGATGTTTTCAAAACAATGGAATGGACAAACATGGGAATAAACATAAATGGAAAGAAACTAAACCATCTAAGATATGCAGACGATGTAGTAATAATAACATCAAGTTTTGAAGAACTACAAACTATGCTAACCGAACTAGCCAAGGAATCTGAACAAATAGGCCTAAAAATGAATCTTACCAAAACGAAAACAATGACAAACACACAAGATAATAGAAACGTAATACTAAATGGAATCACAATAGAAGCGGTTAATGATTATATATATTTGGGACAGATAATAAAAATAAATAAGGAAAACCAAACAGCGGAGGTAAAAAGAAGAGTCAGATTAGCCTGGGCAGGATTTGGGAAATTAAAATGGGTCCTAAAGAATAAGAAAATACAACAGTACTTAAAAACAAGAGTGTTTGACCAGTGCATACTCCCAATTCTCACATACGCATGCCAAACATGGACTCTGACCAAAGCAAACATGGATAAGATAGTGAAGACACAAAGAGCCATGGAGAGAGCAATGTTGGGAGTAAAATTAAAAGACAAGAAGCAAAACATCTGGATAAGAAACAAAACAAAAGTCAAAGACGCAGGTCAACATATAGCCAGGCTAAAATGGAGTTTCGCAGGTCATAACGCCAGACAAACAGACAATAGGTGGAACAACACGATACAACATTGGAGACCATGGACAGGAAAGAGAGCAAGAGGACGACCCCAGATGAGATGGGGAGATGACATTAGAAAGATAGGAGGAATACACTGGAAACAGAAAGCACAAAACAGAAGCGAATGGAGGAAACTGGGGGAAGCCTATGTTCAAAATTGGACGAATTAAAGGGCAAAAGAAGAAGAAAGAAGAAAACATAATATCAATTTATATCAATTTATTAAACAATTTATTATATCAATTTATTAAACCACTTATTCGTTACAACAATTTATTTTCGACTGACTAACTGTTTACACAAAATGTCCCATATATACCCAATACCGTTAGACTAGAACCCCGGCGAAGAATCGATGACCTTCTCGACTAGTATGGAAGGTAAACATGTTCTTATCGAAGGGTCGGGCCCGTGGATGTTACCTGAATTGTCTCGAATAAAGGGGAGCTCAAACTAGGTTTTATAGCGTCCTGCTTCTGGAACCTTTGAATCGTAGGTATATGACCTAGAAAATACTTGAATGAATTAGAATGTTAGTAATAAATATGTTTACTGTTTTGAGTCAGAATTTATCGCAACATTGCCCCCCTCTTAAAAGATGGTACCTCCTGGAACCTTGTCGTGACTGGAACTGGAACGGTATGCTGGTATCGGCAACTGGACCTTCTTTTACAACTTCCAGTTGTATAAAAATGACAAGGGACGGTTTTCCCTCGCACCAGTAACTATGTGGATTGCAACAGACCTAACACCTAGACATCGATGTCTTTAAAGATCTCCTCCACCATATTTCGGATAACCCTCCAATCTAATTGGCGGCACTCCAACTT